TGTCAGCATCTCCAGATGGCCTGAATATCTGTCAGATCTGAGCAGTACTCAGTAGAGATGCCTAGGAAAATAAAAAAGTTCCTTTTTGGTCAGGTCCAAAAACGAAAGGAGAAAAAGTAGAAGAGAGGAGGAAAGAAAGGACAAACATTTTTAAGATGAATTTTCCCACTAGAAAGGGGCTGCTCAAAAGGCACATAAGATTTTGCTTTTGTTTTCTCTCAGCTGTGCATGGATCATGCTTTTATGTTTGTAGGTGGGTTTCCACAGTGTTTCTGGGCTCCTTTCTGGAGGAGGGGCATCTCAGGAGCTCGAAGTCAGGCAGAGTCCCCTGCTGCTGGCCATGGTGCAGGCAGTCTCTCTGTCTGGTAGAGGATAGCTGTAACTGGGAAGTACAAAGAGGAAAACAATTTCCAGTGCCTATCTAGAAAGCACTGCAGGCTCTTAAAAAGGCCATAATCAAGGAAAATCATCATGGGTTCTGTTCCCATTTGAAAACGCATTTTCTAGCCACAAGACTCCAAGGCTAAGTCTGAAGCTAAGTGCCCCATTTACTGCCATCACGACCTCTTTGTATTGATCAAACTGATGGGTTTTCCTCCCTTCAGATTTATCTGAATTTCGTCCAAGGGAGAAGGAAGGACTCTAAGGAAGGTTTAGCTTTATTTAACAGACTTTTGGGGGTGCAGTGAGCAAATGGGCTGGTGACAGAACAGAAATGGGGCAAGTAAGAACTGTGCATGCTGTGCCTTCAAGAAGCAAGGGAAAGAACTGAGCCTGTAAAGCAGGATTTGTAAGCTATGGACTGCTAGAAGAGTTACAGACAATTCATTTATGGTGTGATGCCTACAAGAGTTATGGAGGCACATCACCTTTTTGAGTGGAGGCTCCCTCTGAAGCCACAGTAGCAGGCTGAGGACTGCCAGCCACAGGGATTTGCAACCTTCAGCTCTTGTGCATTGGCTTCTCCCCATCTTTGTTGGCCTTTCTGAGTGCAGTGATATAGACAAATCTGGTTAACGTCTCCTGTTTTATTAATCCTTCTGTACTTATTGTTTGAGAATTGCTGTTCCTGAGGTTATTAATAGTGGTTGATATTTTACCTCTTGGAACAAGCTGATTGCTACATGCCACAAATCACATCTTTATCACTTCAGAGATGAAGCCTTGATCTGTGCCAAACCACTAATGTAATTACTGTCCCCTTCCCGCCACCCTCTGCTCAGCAGCATCATCCATACGCATAATTGCCACAGGCAATTATTTTCAATCACACCTCCAGACAAACAAGATTGTCTTTTAGATGCTAAGCATTTCTAAAATATGATCATGCATTATTCCTTCAGCAAGAGTGACAGGTGGGGCAGTCTGGGAAGGACGAGAATCAATCTGGGTAGTTTGCTATTGAACCATCCACTCCCCTGGTTTGTAGTTTCACAGCTCATAGGACTTGGGGACTCCGCTCACTTAAGGTCAGTGTGGTCAGCCAGGAGGGCTCTCACAGCCAAAGTTAAAGTCACAGCAGTGGCCATAAGGCAGAGCATTCACACAGTGTTTTTAAAAGCTCCAATGTTCTGTGTTGTGAGAGTCTGAACAGCTCCTCATTTTGCATATAGGCTGGTTTTAGCTCTCTTTCTGAAGACATCCAGCTCCTTTCGTGAACTATACAGAGAACCAAAACGGGCTCAGTCTTGGAGCCAAGCACTTAATACCAGCTTTGCATTACTGCAATTGGCCGTGTTTAAATCTGGATGCTTGCAACAGCAGTGCTTCACAGATCCTCAGGCTCTGCACAACATTAAGCAGCTCTTTTTGTTCCTGAATGTAAAAAAAGATATAAAAAAAAAAAAGAGAGAGAGAGGGCATATGGTACAGCACATCAAACAGCAGCCAAGTGCCACCAGCACCTCCACTGCTACCCAGCCCCATCCAACAGGACCCCTGAGCTACAGCCCCTTTGGTGAAGCTGCCATTTAGGAACCTGCTTATTTCCCTCCCCTTTGTCTTACATTAATCAACTGCAGTGGATAATGAAAGATGACAGGTGATGGTAATTACAGCATAGTGGCTTCCCCCCCCTTCTTAAGGAATGCTCTAGGCATCCTAAGCATTTTAAGCAGCTGTGGAGATGGGTGTGGTGTCCTGAGTAGCATAACTGGCTAAATTCATTAACATAGGGCAGGCCAGGGTGTGACTGGTGAACTAAACCAGTCACCTCTCTCTACTGAAGCAGCAAAATTAGCTTAATGATTTCCGCTGGGTTTGTGGCCCTTGTATTTATCTTAGACATTTAAATGGAGGTTGCAGCTGTTCCACAGAATCTATGGTCTCTGATTAAACAAATTGGCTGTGAGCACGTGTATGGATTATTAGAGATAATAGCATGCAGTCTTTCTGCTTTCCCAGGGTCTGATCCACACGCTTAGTTGCTTACAAACATGAGTGGATTGACTGGAAGGGGAGGAAGGGGCTGAAGTGCTCTTATCCAAGTCTTATTAACGTTATGGGCTTTTGGCACACTTCACACTTGTATTACATAAAATAAGGGAATTGAAATGCCAATTCCCGGATTTGCTGCCTATTTAGATTGTAGTGGTACCAGCTTTGTTGCAGTCACGTAGAATGCTACTGAAAACAATGGGACAGATCCACACCATTGTATATACACAGTTGTGCAGCTTTCTGAGCTGGTCCACTTGGATATTACTGCTGGCACCAGGCTGCCCGTGGGATGTTACTGTCCTTGGAGGTGGTGAAGAACCATGAAGATGTGGCATTGAGGTAAATGGTTAGTGGCCATGGTGGGGATGGGTGATGTTGGACTTAGTGGTCTTTTCCAACCTTAATGATTCTGTAATTCTATGATTTTGTGTCACAGCCAACATGGGGCTACCACTGTCCATCAACTGTCTTTCATGTCCAGGAGCTCATTCTGTCTTCCCCAGCCTTTCTTATCATCAGTAGTGAAGTTCCTTCTTGCCTTATAGGTCCTGCCCACTCCTAGCACATCAGCTATGTTGTAATTGCTTCACAGTGACCTTCTTGCTCTAGCAGTTCACATGAGAATCATTTATGTATTTCTGCAAAAATCTTGAGCTGTCTTTAACAATTTTGAGTCTATATTTGTTATAAGAGGCCTAAGTTCTCTTGTGTGAGAAACACCTTCCAGAGAACTTAATGAGAAGGCACTCTCGTTTACATGGATTCTACCAGCTTCTGTCAGCTCTGCAGCCCTGGGTAAAAAAATTGGATGATACTGTGGAAGCTGGTAGTGAGGAGATTAGAAGTAATCACATCTAGGTCAAGCAAAGTCCTGAAAAGTCTAGCACTCATGTGGCTTTAATTGCTTTTCTGCCTTCACAGCTGCTGAGTGAATGTTCCACTTGAGAAGGGCTGCCTCAATGATTTATTTTCTGTTATGCTATGTAGGGATGGAGAGAGGAACAGGCAGTGTCTGTTGAACAAGTAAACTAGAGTAGCAAGAAAAAGATCTAAAGAGGAGTGAACATTGAGCCCTAAACAGCGAGAGGTGTGCTTGGAGGGGCTACTGTTCTTTTGGTTACAGCTAAGGTGCTAAAGGGCATCAAAACATGTGGAGAAAGGTGGGATAAAGCTTCTTTGCATCTTCAAGCAAGTCAAGAAAGTAAAGAAGTGATTTCTGTATCTTACAGCAGTGTCAGCAGTATTAAAAAATTGAGGCATCGTGAGGATAGAGGCTGTAGAAATGCACAGCTAAGCCCAGGCTCTGAGTCAGAATCACTCTCTGGACTCTTAGCAGACAAATGTGACATCCATAGGGCCTCTGTCACTGCACCCAGGTCTTTGCTGCAGTAGGAACATAATAACAGAGGCACTTTGCCAGCGACCACATTGCCTTTATTTTTATTGTCAGGAGAAGAAAAGCGAGGTGGTGGGAGGCCAAGGGACTTGCCCAAAGCTTGCCAGCAATGGCTGTAGGAGTTAAACCCTGTCCCAGTCTACTTAACAGGTAAAAGGTGCTGCTGAAAATCCACACTGCCGACTTTCTGCAGTCTTGTCTGCCTTTTCATGCCTCAAATAGCACCTGGTCTGTTATTTATGTAGTGACTTGTTTCCAGTCTTACAGAGAAGATCTGAGACAAAGGAGGTAAAATTAAATGATTTAGCTCACATATAGTTATTCTCTCTTGGCTGTCCTTGTTTAAAAAAAAATAACAGAAAGATCTTTGACAGCTACACTTGCTCTTGGGCAGCTGCTGTCATGACAGCTGAGAATGCAATAAGATAAAAATGCCACTTCTACAAAATAATCATGGCCCATTGGATGATTCCCAGCAAGATCTTGTGAAAGGGCTTGCTTAGTTCAAGCATATCTGTTCTGGACAGTGTGAGGACTGGAAAAAGCAAAGTGTGCCATGAATGCTAAGCCAAACACAATTACAGATAGAATGGCTCAAGAGCTCTGTTGTTTTTGCTGAAATAATACAAGGAAAATGTGCAGCATGTACCTGTAGTATGAATTGATCAGGTGACATGAAATCACTCTTCCTTGGCTTTTGAAGCAGTGAAAAACAAAAGAAAATGACAAGGGATTAGCACAACTGTCAGTTTACTTTCTCCTGCTGGAACCATGATAGACCCTGGTTGATTGTTGTTTTAATTAATCAGAAGCAATCAGCTTGTAAATGCTGTGATTAACACAGCTTCTGTTTAACCCTGTGTTGAGCTTTCCAAGCAGTGCATGTAGCAGTTTGGCAGAGTCAAAGGGAAGTTTAAAAGCTCTCGGGTAGCAGCTCCAGAAGCTGAGGCTGGCATCTGGTGCTGAGCCACCCCGGCTACCTCCAGCACACTAAGCAGCTGGAAAACCAGAATGCAGCAGTACAAGATCAAATGATTTCCTACTGTTCTCAGGATAAAAATTCCTGGTTTTTAAATCTGAGATTCCTCAGTGGCAGCTTGACTTCTAGCCTGTGTTTAAACTAATCGAAATTGCTTGTGTAAACTTCTCTCTCTTCTCTCCGTAGGTCTGTTGATTGGCTCTGGTTGTGCTCTCTATCCTCTTGGATGGGACAGTGAAGAAGTCAGACAAACCTGTGGCAACCTTTCCAACCAGTTTGAATTGGGTAAGTTTCCATCAAAGTGTTTCAGTTGTATTATACTCTTCTGTCCATTTTCCATGAAAGCAAATGAAGATCTGAATGCAGGTTTGGAGGAGAAACACAGTTGTGTGGTAGGGTACTCATATTGTGTGTTTCTGATGTAGTGCTAAGGCAGGGGACTTCAGATTGGTTTTCCAGCAGAATATTATAAAATATAATAAATAAATGTACGTGTATTTATATTTAAGACATCAGATGGAGTAGTCTTGCAATATGTGAGTGCACACTCCAAGAGATCTTGGCAGGGTAAGCAGGGCCATCATGTCACAGGTTGGGGTAATCCACAGTGAGAGCAGTTAGTGGTCTTCGAAGTCTGGCATGCCTATGGCCTTCTAATCCAAGCCTGGGAATATGATTTTGGTTATACACAACCTTGGGAAGATAGTAAACAACACTTGTTCCCTGTGACTGCCTTTTCACAAGCAAGCAACTGGTAACGTCTGTGCTGACACTAAATGAGAGCCAAAAATGCAGTGAAGCTGGACTTTCAACCACACAGTACAGGGCAAGTCACCTCTAGAGAGATCATTGGGGTGATAGAGAACAGGCACCCAGCAGGGAGATAGCGTGGATCTGATGTTTGAGTGAACATGCAGGTCCTTGTTAAGCTAGAAGGATGAATGTGGCTGCTGCTCTCCTACTCTGCAAGTGCTCTCTAGTCCTGTGTTACTTGAGAAAGAAGGGGACCTGCAATCTTCCTGCAGGAGCAGGAGAGACTGAGCATCCCACATCTATGCACGCTGAGCTCCAGTTTCCAAGAAGGCATGCACACAGCTCCTCATTCCCAGACACTATGAACTAAGCCTTATGGCTGCTGTTAGAAACTCTTTCTATAGCTGTGTGTGCATGGCTCGTAGAAGCCTGACAGTAACTCCAGTGCAAAGAACAGCGGACAAAATCTATGTTACAGATGTTTCTTCCAGCTAGGGGAAGGTGTCCTGGCCCATGGCAGTGGGATTGGAGCCAGATGTTCTTTAACATTCCTTACAACCAAAACATTCTATGATTTGCAAGTTAATTGAGACTAAAAGGTAAAAAGTTGTACAGAATAGCATCAAATCATCAACATTATTGCTTTGGAAGAGATGTTCTTCCAAAGATGTTCTTCCAAAGAGGTCATCCTCTCTTATACCGGTCCTGTGATGTACTGAAGTGCATTTGCACTGGTATGACACCAGAAATTCTCATTACCAACTGCAGCATCTATCTCTGCCACTGATTAATGGCCAACAGCCACTAATGGTGTCACCCAGGGGATGTGTAATGTACCCTAGAAGCTTCACCTTGTTTTCTGAATTTTAATATTTTTCTGTACTATTAATATTAAATTTTCTTTAAATGAAGTATAAAAGGTTCCTGCAATCTTTTTTTTTTTTTTTTTTTTTTTTGCTCTTAATACTTGAAAAATATGCATGTGATAGCTATGAGAACATAAACATATAGTTAACTAGCAGAAAAATAATATCCCAAAGATTCTTGGATCCATGGAAAGGTGTCTCAGTGAATACAGTAGAAAGACCAGAAAGACAGCAGCTGTTGCAAGAATAGCTGGGTTTGTTTTTGGTCGATCCTTTCCAGAAGTCTGGATCTGTTCCTCACCAGCCCGTTATTTGGCCTCTCGTGGGTGCATGCGTGCCAATGGTATGAAAGGTTGCTCCTGCAGTGTCTACTTGAAGCTCCTGACAGCCTGCCCCTTCCCAGGCTTCAGTCACTGCTCTCCTCAGAGTGCAGAAAAGTGTTACTATTCCTGGTTATTTTTCTGAAAATTCACTTAGGCAGCTTCAAGGCACTGAGGAGCACACTGTGATAGTGGGATGACAGCTGGATTAGATCTTAGTGGTCTTTTCCAACCTTAATGATTCCACGATTCTATGAAACTGTGACTTTAAATACAGTCAGGCTTACGGTCAGAGCAGTTTCCAAAGCCACCTTCTACATCTGATTCTTGACTCGTTCATTTATTTTCATAAATTGAGCCGTTTCCCCATTTAAGAGGGTGAAGGAATCCATATGAAATATTTCAGCTTTTCCTCCTGCTATACGTAAGGACCATGAACAGGGGACATACTATGTTAACTGTGAAGATGTGTACTCTTACTGTATTTTCTGGACCTATGCAGGGCATGTGTTTTGCGTGCCTAGACTTGATGGCAGTGCTGGTTTTGCTGATCTTCAGGAATCTTGTGTTAACACATTAATTTACAGATTATAATGAGAGCTGAAACCTGATGTAGTAATTTTCACCAGGCAGCTCTGCCACTGAACTGAATTCTCTGAACTGAATTTCTTTTCCATATAGACTGGCAGTGAATTTAAATGCGTGTCTTGGATTTTTTTTTTAAGTTAATGTCAGTGCCTGGTTGATGCTGTTACCAAAGTCGTTTGTAAGGCAGAGGTACTGTCCAAGGGCTGTTTAATGGCCACGCCGCTCATCTCATTTGATATATATCTCTTCATTGCTGATAACCCAAGCCCTCCAGTCTTTTCTGCATCATTAGAGACTAGTTTACTCATTATAGCCTGCAGAACAAAAATGATGTTTCAAAGACTTAATCTCACCCCGTCTCAAGACAAATTTTAGTAATTATTGCTTTCATTTGAATATTTAATTTGATTAAGCTGCAATGATATGCTTTCTATTCCTGAGCCTGTGAAATTAGTTGTCTCAAGAACCACACATACACACACTGCATTCATAATCTGCCCCTGGGAAAGGTAAGCTGCCCTGAGCCCCAGGCTACTTTGCTGGTGGGGTAAATGGTGGCAATGGGAGTGCTAGTCTTGCTTCTCCTGCTGCCATGTGTGCTACAAAGGATGGCAACAGGATCCTCATTTGGTGCATGTGGTTACTTTCAAAGGGGAGGATGTTCAAAGGGATGCTGATCAGAATAAAGTGGGCCATGGTGAATATGTACATTAGTAAAGGAGGCTCAAAGCTCACCAGGTTTGACCATAGTGCCAGTAAAGGTAGGGGTTCAGCAACTAGTAAGATTTTCTAGGGATCTGCAAAATGAAAAGAACCTTGATATTGGGGTAGAAAAAAATAAACCAGGAGTTGCATTTACATCATAAGAGGATGAAAAGGACAAGAGGAAGGTGCAAAAAAGGGACTGCAAGAACTCACTTGTGAAGCAGGGGAATTGTGCTACCTAAAATGTAATGCTAACCAGAAATGTTTCAAAATTAGCCATTAAATGAAAATGGCTTAACAAAACAAGACAAAAAACCTGCGTATAACACTGTAACGTGCTCATAACTAGATAAAAGAAATAAATAGCAATGCTAAGAACCCATAAAAAGCCTAATCCTTAGTGGGTGTGCTAGATAAGATGTGATTCTCTATGTCTTCATGCATTCTGAAAAGGCTTTAGACTGATAGGCTTTCTAAATAATGGTGAGATAGCCCAGATTGTGAAGAGGGGACTCCCTGCCTCTGTACCCATCAAACAAACACATTTTTGTATCTATTTGAAGGAAATACTTAAAAAGGCTGCAGGATTTTCATTTACGTGTAAGTGGATTAGGATATTCTCTTCTAGAAAACTGAGCTGACATTGTGACATGCCCACCAGTTTGCTGCTCTCTTTAATATTGGATATTCATTTGATTTTTTTTTTAAAGTGAACTACATCCAAATGTTTTACTTAAGAAATGTGCATTTAATTGGTCTAATTTTTTTTTGATCAAATAAAAGTGTTTGTACAATTTGATCTCTACAAAGGAGAATCATTCTTCAATTGAAGATACCCTGCCAAGGATAACCCCATTTGTTGATTAAATTGCATTCAGTAGATGAGCTGTTTTGCTAATGAGAAGAGGAGTAACCTCTGTAAATAGACAGACTGGCACACCTGTAGAAGGACCTGCTGTCTGCTCATCTCTAGCAATCTGTTTTTGCCACAGTGAAAAGAACACAATGATAAACTAGGACTATGGCCAATGATTCCTGGTAAACCTTGTTGCAGCAAGGTTGTTGTGGTATTTCCAGATCTCTGTTATGATTCCCAACTCCCTGCGATCTGGTAAGACCTGTATGGAGGCACTGGGGCCCCGTTACATATTGTGGCCACCTAAGATCATGGGTGCAGCTGAGTTCCCACCGAAACATCAGTCTGTGAAGCAGAAAATTCTTCTTCTGCTGTTTTTAGGATGGAAACTCCTAGAAGGATGGCAATAATAATAAATAAGGGTGAGAGGAAAAAGATGGTCATGTTTTAAACTCATATCATTGTTTGTCAAGTGACTGACAAAGTTTTTTGTCTAATTATCATTACCTTATATAGAGACTGGAGTTACAAAACTACCAGTACACATGATAATTTGACTGCCTTTCTCTTTTACCAAATCCCTGAGGAAGGATCACAGTCATAATCTCTTGTCACCATGCAAGCTGTTGCTGTTATGCTGCGTTATGTACGCACCAGAGCCACCCGTGAGCCCATTCAGGACAGCACTGCTGTGGCACATTATCCTCAGTAGTACACAGCTGCTGACCGAAGGGTGTGAATGTGAGTCAGATCTGCACAATCCTGTGGTCTGCTAAAGGAACTTGCAGGCAGTTTCCTCAAAGCAAGTGCCACGTAGCATACGTTCAATTTTGCCGAGCTTGAGAGGCTAATACCCTGTTTTGTTTTCATTTCTAACTGTACCACACAAGAATAACAGCTCAAAAAAATACTTCTTTTTAAGCAGGAAATTCTTTAAAGTGAGGGAACAAACATTAAAATGAGTCTGCATTAAAGTGAGACTGCACCAAACATATGAAAAAACATCTACATTTTGCAAAACTCCTACTTTGATGAAAAGCCTTCTGAACTTGCATGGTTTTTTTAGACTGTGCTGGTGTATATGTCTGTTTATGTTAGAATTGGGGTTGAATGTCTAAACTCATCAAGACACTTTATTTCAGGTCATCAGTTTCCCCTGATGCTCATGCAGAGGCTGCTCAGTTGTTGCATGCTCAT